AATCAACGTGGATGCTGGGAGGCCCTGGTGATTCTCCGGTAGGCTTGTGCATGTGCCAGCATTGAAGTAAACAATGTCGTTTATAAAAAGCTGTCGTGTGGAATGTTTCTTTCCTTTTCAGGTACGAGATACCAGCTGGATGGTTTAAGGTGCTAGCTAGCTTGGGAACTGTACACATTTCACAAAATAGAATAATTGCATTTTCTAGGGCTGTATCTTGATAAGTCTAGCATTCATTTTAGACTCTTGGACATTATTTTATACAGGTAAACATCTGAATTTTATGTCATGTGCAATACTAGATAGGAAAAAAAAAACTCAGATATTTTATATTTAGCCAGCAATTTCTCTCGAGTAAGCACTCTTGTATTGCTTTCCCTTTGCATTCTTTCTGGGCCACAGCTGCCCTTCAGGGCAAGTTTCCCAGAGGCCCCTGGCTGTGCTTGGGAAGCTGTGATGGTGCTGGGGTGTGGTTGTTGCTTGTCATTGGAAGGGAAGTCACACTGAGTTCCCTCCCTGACTGGAGGACTGGGAAGCAAATCTTTGAACTCCATTTTGTGCCAGGGACAGTGACAAGCTGACTGATAGATGCTAGTGATGATATAAGATGGTTTGTGCTTCATGTGCACATGGTGAGCTTAATGAAAAGTGTATCTTGGTAGGTGATGTATTTAAAATCGACTGCATCCATGAGCCCGAGACGCTGTTTTTCAGAAGAGTTTCTGTGTTGGTAACTGATAAACCGATAATTAGGTTCCCAGTTGGGCATGATTGGAAAGCAGCCTCCTGGGATGTGATTTGATACCTCTCAAGCCTCACACGGCTGCCCGCAGTTTAATCTGAAGTCTGGTTGGCAGGCTTGGTAATGGTTTGGGAGTCATCTGGTCAACTGGGTGGGGTGGGGAGTAAGTGGGAGGTAGTGAGCACCTAGGTGCTACTAACGGTAGGCACATAGTGCCTATGATGGTTCATTGCAAGCAGCAGTAGGCAGAGCTGGTGGGCAGTTTAAGATTGTCTTCTACATGTTGCCTGTGTTTCCTTTCTGTAGGACGTGTTCTTAATTTGCTTTTCCCTTGTGAGTCCTGCATCATTTGAAAATGTCCGTGCAAAGGTAAGTGGAATTTACGGAATGATTGTTGCATAATGTCATTCTGAAGCATTAAGCTAATGAATCTTTATCAGTAAAAATTCAGGAGTCAGCATTACTCTAAGAAAGAAATATTAAAAAGAAAGATGAATGCCATCATTTGCTGGGAACTTTGAATTGTTTAACTTGACTTTAGTAGCTGTACTGAGGAATGGGCCATTTGTAAGTCTATGGCTTTAGGGTGTTGGTCTCTAGAACTAATTTCTTTGGGAAGCAGGCTCTCGTCCCAGCGGTACCAAGCACTTCAGAATTGATGTAGTGACCATTTCTTTCTGCTCCAGCATCTTGCACCAATTTAGTGAAAAAGGGTGAGGGACCCTGTTGGTGTAGAGATGGGGACCATGGTGGGGACAGTGGAACTAGCTTCTATATTTTCATCCTGAGCTGATGGTGAGTTTTTCTAGAGTGATCCTATAAATTAGACCTTTCCTAAAAAACAAAATGATTCCTTTGAGGGTACTGCCCTTCTCTCCTTTCTCCTGGTTCTTGACAGGTGGGGTCTGTTGTGTTGTTCTCTGTCTCGGGGCCTGGCTAGCCAGGGTATGCATGGTTCTTGAAGGCTGAGTAGAAGGCAGAGCAGCTTTGTGGGGCCCGCTGTGGCTGGAGGTTTGGTCCTCGGTGCATACTAGCTGGCTGAGGAGAGCGGCATGGCTTTGTTTCTTTCTTCACACTAGTGGTATCCTGAAGTGCGACACCACTGTCCCAACACTCCCATCATCCTAGTGGGGACGAAGCTTGATCTTAGGGATGATAAGGACACGATTGAGAAGCTGAAGGAGAAGAAACTGACCCCCATCACCTACCCGCAGGGGCTAGCCATGGCGAAAGAGATCGGTATGAACCCTCCTTGTTCTCTGCTTTGCAGTCCTGGTGACAAGCAGCTGGAGTTGTCCATCTGAGAGAGGAAGGTTTCTTCTACTTGGGGGTCTCTTTGCTTTGGGCACCCAGTCAAGCCAGGCCTTTAGTGTTGGTTTGGGAGTTGGCTGCTGAGCCACACTGTGCTGGCTTAGTGCGGGGAAACTGTGGTCTGATTTACAGTTCTGTGGTGTCATTGCCCGATGGAGTGTCCATCAATGCCCTGTGGCTGTCTTTTCTAGGTGCTGTCAAATATCTGGAGTGCTCAGCACTCACACAGCGAGGCCTCAAGACAGTGTTTGATGAAGCTATCCGAGCGGTTCTCTGTCCACCTCCTGTCAAGAAGAGGAAGAGAAAATGCCTGTTGTTGTAAATGTCTGAGCCCCTCATTCTTGGTCCTGTCCCTGGAACCTTTGTACGCTTTGCTCAAAAAAACGGTGGAGCCTTCGCATTTGATGCCAAGTTTTTGTTACAGATTCATTTTTCCATAAAACCATTTTGAACCAATGAACCAGTCAATAATTTTAAGGTTCTGTTTTAAATGTAAGAATTCCAACTTACGGTCTATTAAAAATTCAGCCCTAAATGACAAGCCTTCTTAAAGCCTTATTTTTCAAAACCCCTAATCTTGCTCAGATTAAGAATTGCCAAAATACCTTCTGAACTAAATCGTGTTGTGCTGAGAACACTTAAGTACTAAACTGTTGAGAGAGACTTTTGTTTTTAAGAAGACTGCAGCTTCTGGAGTTGGGGTGCAGACCCTTCCCTAGTTTCCAGACCGCGTGATGCAGCACAGCCTCCTTAACAACACGTTGCCATGTAACGCACCTGTAACTTATCAGCCCATGTTCATTACATAACTTTGTACTGTACGTCACAATGACTGAGTGTAACATCTCAGCCCTTTGATTTCATAGTGAGTTTTCTAAAATCCCAGTTGACTAGCTTTTGCAGACTTTGAACAGAACTCTGGTTTCCCGTGTTGCCTCTAATGAAGTATTCTGTTCCTAGTCGTGGGTGTGCTGGGTGGAGTGTGTGAAACACAACATGATCAAAGGATAAAGACAGTATTTTGACTAATATGAAGTAGAGATTACTTTACACTACATTGTACATGGAGTAATTCAACTGAATAAAAGTGTCACGGGTAAAGAGTTTTAACGGTTAATTTCTGTCAGACACAGTAGATGGCAAAGGTCTTAGCAGTGTCTCTCTTGAGCTTTTCCTTTCCCTACACTGCCGTCCCTCCCCAGATGGGTTGTGGAACCCATATTTAAACTGGCCATCCCCACAGTTGCTAACTTAGCAAGTACTTTTCTTTAGGGCCCCCTCTTCACGAGCAATATGTCTGACCTGTACTATAAGACCTTTCTGATAATGCATTTGGAGTTTTTTTCTTTGTTTTTCTTTTGGTAGATTGGTAGAGTGCACTCCTGTTTTCACCTTACTTTACTCAAAGCTAATAAGTGCTTTCCTTAGTTTTCTAGTAATTAGGTGTAAAAATCATGTGTTGCAGCTTTATAGTTTTTAAACTATTTTAGATATTCTTAAACTATGAACCTTCTAAACATCACTGTCTTGCCGGAGTACCAACACTGTCACGTGACTAATGCTGCCCCTCTAGACCTCACCCACGTGGACACATGCTTCCCGTCGTGGCTCTGCCTAGAGCTGTTCCTTTGGGTCTGTGAGGTTCTGTCAACTGCTAGTGCTAGCGCTGTTGTGTGCAACCTGACTCACTGGCAAGAACACAGTGTTGGCCTTCCAACCACTAGAACAAACTTTTCAATTGACAGTTGCAGAATTGTGGAGTGTTTTTACATTGATCTTTTGCTAATGCAGTTAGCAGTATGTTTTGCATGTATGACTTAATAAATCCTTAAATCAGACAACTGGTCATGCTTGTGTTTTTGGAACCTGACAAACATGTTTGCCTCACTTTAAACTCCTGGATTGTTGGCTGTGTGCTTCTCAGACTGGGGTGGAGGGCGTGCCACCTCCAGGGAAAAGGTAGGTAACTCCACAGCCACACAATGCAGTGGGGGTGGCCTTCATGTTCAGTCTTGTTGAGCCTGAGGTGCCCGCGTGAAGTTGCCCACAGTGGGGTGTGTTTGCATGAGCACATCCCTGTGGGAGATTTGCCAGAATTGAGTGCATAACATGGGGAAGCTGGGTTGTGGAACTAGGCAGGGTAGACCACGTGATCCTCGGGGAACCCGAACATGTACTGTTAATACAGCCAGTTAGAATTGGCTTTCACTGGCGATTCTTGTACTTTGAATCTTTAAAAGTTACAGTACTTGTGTGTGTGAGTATGAACGTGGCACAGCATGTGCGGGCAGAGGACAGCCTTCAGGAGTCATGCCCTTTCCACCCAGGGACTCAACTCTGGCTGGCAGGCTTGGCCACGGGTACCCTTACCTACTGAACCATCTTTTCTGGTCCCAAACCAAGCTACCTTCCTTCCTTTCTTGAGAGTGTCTCACTATGTAGTGTTGGCTGCCCTCTGCCTCCCTAGTGCTGTGTGATTAAGGGACTGTGCCACCGCACCCAGCTCCAAACCTTTTTTAACCAGAGTTAAACAGGCAGTTTAGAAACACAGCAGTAAATGCTTATTATAAGGACATGAGCTCTGCCTGACCTATTCCAGAGGCAGGACTTCATCCTTTTATTTTTTTTTAAAGATTTATGAGTGCTTGCTCAAATGTCCTTATCACTAGTATACAGTGCCCACAGGGGTCAGAAGGTGGCTTTGAATCTCCTGGGACTAAAGATACAGGTGGTTGTGAGCTGCCATGTGGGAGCTGGGAACCAACTGTGGGTCCTCTGCCAAGAGCAAGTGCTTTTAGCTGTTCTGGATCTGACTCTGTAGACCAGGCTGATGTAGAACGCAAAGATCTGCCGGTGGCTGTCTCCTGAATGATGGAATTAAAAGGTATGTGACATATCTGGCTGTTTCCCAAGTCTAAATTTTTACCGCAATGTTCAGCCACAGCTCTTGATCCAATAAGGATGTGAGGAACGAGGTCTCCCCAGTGGCCCCAACACCATCATCTTAATTCTCTCCAAACATTGAGTGTCCAGCAGACATAATTTTATACGTACATACACTTGAGGCTGTATCCAGTGATAACAGAACTTGGCCTCACCCACACTTCGGTTTCCTAAAGATAATGCTTAAATCTTCTTATTTGTGAAGAGTTTGACTAAACTTCCTGGCATATTGAAATCTGAAATTTAAAGTGTGCGTGCACACGTCTGTAGAGACCAGCCCCAGGTGATGCTCCATTTTTCTGAAGACAGGCTCTGTCACTGAACCTGCTGGGGTTCACCTGTCGGATGCCCTAGGGGCCTTCCTGTCTCCCTCTCCAGCGGTTTGAACTTAAGTCCTCAAGTGAGACTACTGACCAGGTCATCTCTGGCCCTTCTGTTGAATCTTAAGATACTTTATTTTGATCAGTTTGCATTTTGCCACGTCTCCGGATCATCTGGCCACCAAATCTTTGTATCGTGCACAACTCCAGTCTAATTTCTCTCATTTTGTCTCTGAGGGCCTTTATCTCAACAGAAGCCATTCTGCTGGGGGATACTCTCTGGGTCTAAATTACTGGAATTTCCTTGGGGTTTCGGTTTTGGGTTATTTCTGTTGTTCTTTAGGATGGGGGTCTCATATAGCTCTGGTTGTACTGGAACTCACTCTGTTGACCAGGGTGGTCTCACAGGTACTGCCTGCCTGTTGGATGTGCCTCCCAACTGCTGAGATTAAAGGTGTGTGCCACTATGACCAGCCCCTTAAGATTTCTGACCAAAGATATTTCTTTCCTCAATTTTTTTTCGCTGTAACTAGGGTGTGTACTCTTGAGACAGGGTTTCACTATGGTTTTTTGGCCTAGAACTATGCAGACCTTGAGCTCACAGAAAATGACCTGCCTCTCTGCTCAGAGTATTAGGATTAAAGGTGTGTGCCACTGTACTTGGCAGCTGTATTTATATTAATATATTTAATAAGTTTTCCCTTTAGTCTTTCTAGCCCCCTTTTGGGGTTTTGTTTGGAGTCAGCATCTCGAGTTAGCATATTGTTAAGTAGCTAAGTGTGACCTCCAGTTCCTGGTTCTCCTGCCCCCCATCTAAGTGCTGGGAAAACAGCTCAAGTCACCAACACACTTGGCATCTTTTGTTTTCTGGACTTGGTGGACTCCTTGTATTTGGAATATGTGCAGGTCTCAGTAGCCAGAATTACAAACAACTTGATTTTCCATAAAAAGGCAAAACTCTCATTGCTACCTAGGTACAGTGGTCCATGTCAGCTCCAAGAGGCTAATGTAGGGAATTCCTGTCCCCCAGTAACACAGACCTTCCTGTGCACTCACTGATGGTGTATCAATTACTTTATTTTAAAAAATCCTCCCTGAGCCCAACACCTGGCTCCAGAGCTAGAATACTGTGAGAATTAAGCATACGTGAAAGTTAAGCAATCACTTCATGTTGTACAAATGGAGCCACAGTGGACTCAGAGGACGCTCCGGCTGCCCTTAGTGCCGCACCAACACCAGCGAAGAAGATAAAGTGCACACCTGTCGTCTTAGAGTCAGACTCTTGTAAACAGCGGGATGGGTTCCTGGCAGGGGTTGAAGTGCTAGAGATTCACCAAGGGTCTTCATATGTGGAGTTCTCAGGTGGCTAAAGGAGGCTTGCTCCACAAGCTGTCCCAGAAGTCCTAACACCTCTGCGTGTTCCCGACTCCTGATCCTAGTAATACTGTGGTTAAAAATAGTTTTATAGGTTGGAGGTGGCGGCACATGCCTTTAATCCCAGGCAGTTGAATCTCTGAGTTTGAGGCTGGCCTGGTCTTCCAGATGGAATTCCAGAACAGCCAGGGCTCCATAGAAACCCTGTCTTAAGAAAAAGTTTCTCTGAATTGTATGGTCATACTGTTGCCCATTCTACAGGGACCCACCAGCTTACTGTTGATGGGAACCACCACACCAGCCTCACAGAAGCCACTCACATTCAGTTAGTCTAAAGGAGGGGGAGCGCAAGCCCATTGTGCTGGGCAGTGTCCACAAGCGGGGTTAGGCCACAGCTGCAGGAGGGCCACCTTGTCCCGGGCAGGAGACACAGGCTGTTCTGTCCGCGACTACTCTGTCCAGCGCCTGATTGACGATATTAGGCAGGTGGTCAGTCAGCATCTTTGGGCCTATCAGGATCTTGCCAAATTCTGCTTCATGTGCCCACCTTGCCCTGTACCGGGCAGCAGAACAGCAGCCAAACCTTGAACAAAAGAGAACATGGGCTAGTGATGCTGTCCTTGAGCCGGGCTTCTGGCCACCCTCAGCAGATGAGCGTGGAGACCCATGTGACTCCCTCCACTCACCTCCCTGAACCACTCTCTTCTTCAAGGTGGATGATCCTGCCAGGTGGGTACAGAGGTGGGTACTTGGTGGGAGAATCCAGTGGGGAGTCGCTGGAGCTGTAGCCTGGGGAGCATCGAGTCAGCAGGCTCTGCTCCCCAAGAAGAGGCTGAGTCAGGGCCCTCTGGTTGGCCTCATCCAGCTCAGTTGGAGAGTTATCAGGGTCTCCTCCAAACAGTCCGTACCAACAGCCGCGCAACAAGATCTTGTACTGAAAGGTAAGGCCCAAGGGCAACATTGGTCCTGTGCTAGGTGGCAGCCCTCAGGGTTTAGCCTGTCCTTCCACAACCACAGGTCATGAGTGAGGCTTGTGCCAAGAACCCATCGTATGTGCAGCAATAGTTAAAAAACAAATCATACATGTATTTTGAAAGTTATTTTTAGGCCAGGCAGTGGTGGCACACACCTTTAATCCCAGCACTCTGGAGGCAGAGACGGACATCTCTGAGTTCAAGGCCAGCCAGGTCTATAAGAGCTAGTTTCAAGACAGGCTCCAAAGCTACACCTGTCTTGAAAAGCCAACAACAACAACAACAACAAAAAAAAAAAAAACCAAAAAAAGCAAATATTAAAATTCTGATAAACAACAAAATTGAAAAGGTAAAGCACCTGGAGTCCCATTACCCAGATAAAACCACACTTCAGCATATACTTTTTTGAATATTGTCAAGATTCCCGTTGATACATACCTGTTCTTTAAGAATACTGTTTTTAATCCTACGTATTTTGTGTGTTCCTGTGATGGCATGCCGTGTGTGTGTGTGTGTGTGTGTGTGTGTGTGTGTGTGTGTGTGTGTTTGGGGGGTCACAGGACAAAAGGAGCTGACTGTTTACCCCCTGGGTTCCAGGGACTGGACTCCGACTGGGCTTAGTGCCACATGGCAAACCCGCTGTCTCGCTGGCCCTTCCTTTTTCAAACTTACCCCAATAGCAGGCAACGACTAGGGCCTCGAGCATGCTGGGCAGCTCTTCTACCACTGGGCTCTAGCCCCTGCCCCCTCCTTGGCTTCCTTTTCCTCTTGGCCTCAGATTTTTGGCAGTCCTACCTCAGTCTCCCGGCAGCTGGGTTAGAGGCCAACACCATTACACCACCTCATAGCTATCAGCTCCTATCAGCGAATACACTTTCTCTTTTCCTGTGTGTGTAGGTTTGAACCTAGAACCTCCTGAAGGCTAGGGAAGTGCTCTACCACTGAGCTACACTCTCAAGTCTCTACCATTAAAATTTCCCCATTACATTTATTTAGCTAATTGTATGCATGTGGAGATGAGGACTTCAGGGAGGTCCTTCCCCCCTCCACCATGAGGACTGAATGCAGGTCAGTCTGGCAGCAAATGCCTTTCCCCACAGAGCCATCTTGCCAGCCCCCTAGAACCTCTTAAGAGTCCGTATGTGTCGGCCTTACTGGAAGCCTGGGACCATGTGACTGAGAGCACAGAGGAGATGGGCAAGGGTTTCTTTCCTAAGTGCCGCTCTGTGACTCCTGCACACAGAATCCCAGACACGGAGGAGAGGCGAGCATCAGTGTGCTGGGTCTAGAGACTGCTGAGCCGCTCTGCCTGCCTCCACACGGACCCTCCGTCTAACTCTGGCTGAGCGCTTACCTTCGGCTTGTTGCAGTTAGCGATCACTCGCAGGATCCTTCTCTTCAGGTCCTCCATGTTGGTCACGCTTAACCTGGTTGGTAAAAAATAATCTCAGTACCCGGTGTTGCCAACGACCCCGACCCCATGGGCCACTTGAGGGACACTGACCTGGGAATGACATCCATTCCTAGGATAAGTGACACAATGAAGTCCTTGGAGTGTTCGTAAAGGGATTTGCTGGAAATTCAAGTGAGAGACAAGCTAAGTCAGTCTAGGTTCTGTTGCTGCAGGCTTCAGAGAGAATAAACAGCTGCCAGGGCAGATGTTGGTGTCACATTCCAATCTTCTAACAGAGAAACATGACATGGGGACCCCAGGGCATAGTACAGCTAAATCACCAAATGATCCCTGTGACCCAGAAGGCCCCAATGGCACAATCTACCGACGTGCCCTGGCAATATATGAGCAGGCAGAGGTAAAAGGCTAGCCACTTCAGTGTGTATCTGCAGGACAGAAGCTGGCCCAGTGCGGTCAGGCCTGTGATTCCAGACACTCGGAGAGTAAGGCAAGAAGACGGACCTACCAGGGCTAGACTGAATTCAAGGCTAGCTAGCCTGTACTCCCATCTAGCACTTAAGCCTTAAGCAGTAGAGGGAGAAGGACTGAGAATTGGGACTAGCCTGGGCTACACAGTTAAGACCCTATCTAGAAATCACTAAAAAGTAAATATGTAAATAAAATATAAAGGTGAAAGTCATCTAAAAAATTCCTACTTCTGGTGTGAAAGGTTTTTTTTTTTTCTGAGAGAATGAGAACAGAAAATAGCATGAATACTGGCTTTATAGAATTGTCTGGAACTATATTGATATCCTGTGTGCTAAATTAGAAAAGTTAAATAATAAAAGCAGTCCCTAAAATCAAGCTCATAGTGTATTTTTCCTCCTGAGCAGGGTTCTCTTCTGGAACACACCTATAGTCTCAGCCCTTGGGAGACTGAGGCTGGATGATCACCAAGAGCCTGAGGCTAGCCTGGGCTACATGCAATCTAGGCCAGGCTAGGCTACACTGTGAGACTGTCTCATCAAAACCAAAAAGCAAACCCACAATATTTCTGCATCACTCCTATTTTTCTGGCACAAACTTTACCTCATCACAAGCAGATACCTGACAAGTTCTTTACGTTATTTTCAGCTAATCAGTGCAGGAAGAAAGGAAGCCCACTTTCTATTCCCTGCCCTCCGAGAAAGTCCATCTAAGGAAATGGCTGTTACTGCCAACACTAGGGGTGAGATGGTGACAGTGAGCGTGGCCAACAGGAAGTATATGGAGTGCTAAAACCACGCCCACTGAATCAGATCTAATCTTAGTGACCAGGTGTGACGGTGCACATCTTTAATCCCAGCACTCAGAGAAGGCAGAGGCAGGTTGATGTCTGAGTTCAACTTCAAGCAAAGGCTACATAACGGGACCCTGTCTCACAAACAAAAATCAAGCTGGGTGGTAGTGGCAGCGCACGCCTTTAATCCCAGTATTTAGGAGACAGAGGCAGGCGGATCTCTTGAGTTTGAGGCCAGCCTGGTCTACAAGAGCTAGTTCTAGGGCAGCTAGGGCTGTTACACAGAGAAATCCTGCCTTCAAAAACTAACACATAAACCAAAACAAAAGATCTGTTTTCTGCATTTTTCATTTTTTCTTTTCTTTTTTTTTTTTTGAGACAGGGTTTTTCCATGTAGCCCTAGTTGTCCTGGAACTCGTGCTGTAGACCAGGCTGGCCTCGAACTCAGAGACCCACCTACCTCTGCCTCCTGAGTGCTAGTATTAAAGATGTGCACCACCACTGCCCAGCTGTATTTCTCAAATATTTTGATGGATATATAGTGGGTTTTTTTCACTGTTCTGTTTTTACCTTTTATTGTTTTAATCCTTAATTAGTTTTAGTCTTTTTTGCTGTAGAACGGATTTCTTTTATAATCAAGGCAAAGCTTACGTGTCCAGTCAGCATGCTCAGCTAGCGGGAAAACATGTCCAGCTCATAAACGTCCTGTTTGCTCAGCCCCAGAGAATGCGCGTGGTCCAGGTGAAGCCCACACACATGATGGATGCCAGGTGGCAGTGATATGCCACTGGGGGCTACCGAGGATCAGAAGCGCACAGCTGGGGTCAGGGGAGGGGCAGGCAGCAGGGGAGGCTCACATGGCAGGCAGAGTATGTGGGGATTCTCTGTTACAAAAGGGCTCGGCAGGTAAAAACACTTGCTGCCAAGCCTGATGCTCTGAGTTCAACCCCTGGGACACGGACAGTGGAAGAGGACAGCGGGCACCTCCATGGCATAAACACACCCACACAGACACACATGCATGCTCCTGCAAAGAAATGAGGTTAAAACAGGGGAAAAAGGGAAAGATTTGAGGCCGGAAACGAGCTCAGTGATGGAGGACAAGCACTCTAGGCATGGGCGCAGGAGAATGGACGCCCTCTGCTGGCTCCCACGGACAGCTGCACAGACGCGGTAGACTCTCAGACACACATACAGTTTGAAGTTTCTTTTCTTTAAGTAGACGGTAGACAAGTGATGTACCATTAAACTACTTTTCTAGTCCTAAAATAAGTTGTCTTTAAAAACCAACCTTTAGAGGCTGGAGAGATGCCTCACTAGTTAAAAGCACCTACAGCTCTCCCAGAGGACCCTGGTTCCCAGTCTCCAGTTAGACAGTTCACAATTGCTACAAGTATGTGTCCCAATGCCTCTCCTCTGCAGGTACCTGCTCACGTGTGCACTCACACATAATGACAAGAAGATCTTTAAAAACCAACAAAAGGAACCTTAGAAATCTATCGTTTAGCAGGTTATAATCCCAGCCACTATGGAGGCTGAGGCACAAGGATCAGTTCAATGTCTCCCCTCAGCCCCACAGCAAGTTCCAGGCCAGCCTGGGCTACGCAGGAAATTAGAGCTCTTGGCCGGGCTTCTCTAAGGACTGTATTCTCTTGCCTCTGCCTTCCGAGTGCCTGCATCATAGGCAGGCAGCACCGTGTTCAATTTCATAGTCTTTCTTCAGCTCCATAGTCTTTCTTTGCCCTTTTGATACAGGGTTTCAGGCAGCTCAGGGTCTAACCTGCCATGTGGCCGGAGAGAACCTTCACCATGTAAGCCTCCCACCGCAGCTTCTCCAGTGCTGGAATGACAGCAGTAGGCTATCCCAGGCTTCAGGGATGCCACATGTCAGCCCTACACAGTGTGTCACAACAAACTTCTGGGGAGGAGAGGTAATTCAGTTATGTGAATGAAAGAGCACCTGCTTGACCGTCCTGCAGAGAGTGAAACCTTACCTCAGGAGCCCCCTGGGTGGCGAGAAGGCATATGCACGGACTTGTGGGTAGGCCTTCCGGAGCATGATGGCTAACAGGGCCGCAGCTCCGGCTCCTAGGCTGTGCCCCACCAGAACGAGCCGGTACTCCTAGGGGACAGAAGGCAGAGGGAGTTGAGGCCCAGAAGAACAGATGGACCGTGACAGTAACAGAAAATAGAAGAATGAACCGATCTCACCGGAGCAACACTGAAGGCTTGGCTCAGAATCCCATCGTTGACCAGTCTGCGGTAAATGTACCTGGCTGCTTGAGCAATTCCCTGGAGGAATAGATGGGGTGAGGTCAGCATGGCTCGGAAGGCGGTCTCTGGCCTGTGGTTCACTGATACACTCTGGGCCTGTGTCCCAGAGGCTGGCTGCCAGGAAGTGGACGGTGGTATGTATCTAAGCCAGTGGGTGTCACTAGGAACACCCATTTATGCAGCAGGCACATCTGTAGTTCTGTGTGTTAGTCCGTAGCTGCACGACACACGACGTGAATCCTCTAAGGACTGGGGATTGAAGCTGGGGGCCCTAGTGTATGCTGGGCAAGCAATCTACCACTGAATTATACCAGAGCCTTTAGAACTTGTTTTTATGGGCTGGAGAAATAGACCAATGATGAAGAGTGCTTCTGTCAGTGACCAGAGTTCAGTTCCTCGCACCCGCATTAGGTAGCCCACAGGCACCAGCTTGAGGGGATCCGTTGCCCAATTCTGGTCTGCATTGGGCATGTGCACATGGACACACACACACATAAATATGTCTAAAAAGTATTATTTTTTTTGAGATGGTTTTAAAGTTGCCAGTCTGGCTCTCAATTTGATATGTAAGTCAGCCAGGCCTTGCACTTTGTGTGTGGTGTCTTCAAACTGAAAGATCACAAACCGAAGAAAGCAGAGGACCTTGAGAAAGCTATTTATTAGTGCTTTGCACTCTTCGAGCTGCAGCTGACAGGGGAAGAGAGCAATTTAGAGTGGGGCACCCTTACAGGTTATGTGGTAATGAAGACCCCCAAAGTGAGCCAGGAGCTCTGGTTTTGTGGTTTACTCTTTTTCCTTTCTTTCTTTTTAATTTTCTGGAACTGGAGTTACAGACAGTTGTGAGCTGCTATGTGGGTTCTGGGAGTCGAACCCTTGTCCTCTGGAAGGGCAGCTAGTGTTTATAACGGCTGAGCCACCTCTCCAGCCTTGCAGCTAACTCTTAGTTGGAAAGGCAGATGCGGCAATGAATGCCCCACCACATGAGGGTGATGTTGTGCACGAGAACCAAACAGAACTGTTTCCAGAGAGCTCTGTTAAAGTCTGGTTGCCCGTTTAACAGCAAACAGGATATGGCTGGTAGTGTTAACAAAGATAAGGAAGAATAAAAAAACTACTTTGGGGGCCAGAGAAGTGGCTCAGGGGTTAAGAGCATTTGCTGATTTCCAGCTCCTGGACCAGGTGAGTCACCCCTGCCTGTAGCTCTAATGCCAGGCATCTGATGCCTTCTTCTGGCCTGGGTGGTCACTGCAGACGTATGGCACCCATACAGACAGGCAGGCGCGTGTGCACCCAGGGAAATAAAAATACCATTTAAAAAGACACTATTTTGAGAACTACAGCAAGACTGAAATGAGTTATGAAAGATAGGCAGACTGGAGAAAAGGAGGATTTTCTTATTTATTTACAGGGGATCTGTTTGTGTAGTCCAAGCCTCAGACTCACTCACATGTTGCCAAGCCTTAAGCTTCCAAGTCTCCTACTGCTGCCCCCTGAGTGCTGAAGGTGTGCACCACTACACCCAGTTCACGTGATGCTGGGCACTGAACTCGGGGCTCCATACATGCTGAGCAAACACTCTACTGACTCGGCCACACCCCTGGCCCTGTTCTAGTAGTATCTGGTGATCATAAACAGTTGCTAACACGATTATTGTTTGAAATAACAATACCATTAGTGGGTACAGCTCTGAAGAAGGCCACCCCCTCCCCTCGTCTCCCGTTTCTCTCGTGTGTGTACATTAGTGTTCATGTACACGAGTGTGGACTCACACTTGTCACAGCAGGCAAGTGCAGGTCTGAGGACACCCCTGGTGTTGGGCCTTGCCTTTCATTTCAGACGGTTTTTTGTTGTTAGCCTCTTGTCTATGCTGGTCGGTTCTAGAGCTTCTGGGGATTTTCCGCCTCCATCTTCCCAGAGTGGAGACTGCAGGTGCCCACTTATTGTTTACACTGTGCTGGCCAGGCAGTGCTGACATGACAGATGCACACTGCCATGCCCAACTCTTACACATGAGTGCTGGAGATCCAAATTTAGATCCTCACACCTGCCTGGCCAGCACTTCACCCGCTGAGCCATTCCCCTGGCCCCATTGAACTGAACGGATTTAAACACCCAATCTAGGTTTAGGGAGACCCTATCTCAAAATATAAGGTGGGAAGCAACTGGAAAAGACAGCCAGCGTCAACCTCTGACCTTCATATGCACATATACACACATGTACGTGAACCTGCACACACATAGGAACACACACACACAAAGATGAACACCAGAAGACACAACCTCACAAGGAGAGAGGGTAGAATATCAGAGCTGGGAGTGGGGCCGTTAGCGTTTGGTAAGCCTAGAGCCAACATCAGGGTTCATCAAAAATTAGGGTATAGACAGAAAAGATGGGCACACAACATTGTACAAACACATGATGGCAATGACCTGAAATATCACAAACCGTTAAAATGATAAATGTAATACACCCATCCAGCATCCACATATCCATCTACCACTGATCTATCCATCCATTCATCTATCCCTCCACCTACCTGTCCATCCACCTACCCACCCATTACCCGCCCATCCATCCATTCACCTATCCCTCCATCTACCCGTCCACCCACTCACCCACCCACCCATCTACTCGTCCATCCATCCGTTCATCTATCCCTCCATCTACCCGTCCACCCACTTACCCACCCACCCATCTACCCGTCCATCCATCCGTTCATCTATCCCTCCATCTACCCGTCCATCCACCTACCCACCCATTACCTGCCCATCCATCCATTCACCTATCCCTCCATCTACCCGTCCACCCACTTACCCACCCACCCATCTACCCGTCCATCCATCCGCTCATCTATCCCTCCACCTACCCGTCCATCCACCTACCCACCCATCTACCCGTCCATCCATCCATTCATCTATCCCTCCACCTACCCGTCCATCCACCTACCCACCCATTACCCGCCCATCCATCCATTCACCTATCCCTCCATCTACCCGTCCACCCACTCACCCACCCACCCATCTACCCGTCCATCCATCCGTTCATCTATCCCTCCATCTACCCGTCTACTCACCCACCCATCTACCTGTCCACCCACTCACCCACCCACCCATCTACCCGTCCATCCATCCGTTCATCTATCCCTCCATCTACCCGTCCACCCACTCACCCATCTACCCGTCCATCCATCCGTTCATCTATCCCTCCATCTACCCGTCCACTCACCCACCCATCTACCCGTCCACCCACTTACCCACCCATCCACCCATTACCCGCCCATCTATCCATTCATCTATCCCTCCATCTACCCATCACTCACCCACCCATCTACCTGTCCACCCACCCACCCATCCACACATCTGTCTTCCCATCCATCATGTTTTTTGGTTTGTTGAGAGAAGGTTCCAAAGCTCACAATGGCCTGGACCTTGCTGTGTAGCCTGAAACTAATTCATGGTCCTTCTACCCAAGACTCTCCATGTCTGGAGTTATTACACTTACTTTACAATGTTTAAAAACCATTTCATACGCACACATCCATCTGAGGTGGGGTTTTCCTCCTCCAAGAGGAACTCTGCCCCACTCACCCCCACAGAAAAGGAAGAGAGAAACAGAACTAGGCTCTGGCCACATCCACAAGAACTTGTGGGAGTGAGCTGTCCATCCAGCCTGTGCCGCCCACAAGGCTGGAGCTCTTGCTCTGCTGCTCTGGCTGGACCAAGCATTTTCCCACGAAGATATCAGACTTTAATTAGAGGGCTACAGTTCAGTTTCTAGATGCTTGTCCAGCCTGCATCAGACTCTTGGTTCCATCCTAACCTGGAATCCTCATATTCAGACAGTGGATGCAAGAGGAACGCAAGTTAGCTATAGGCCAGCCTGGGCTACATGGGACTCTTGCCTAAAAAAAGGAGGCTGAGGCTGGGTGGTGGTGGCACTTGCTTTTAATCTCAGCACTTGGGAGGCAGGGGAAGGTGGATCTCTGTGAGTTCAAGGCCAGCCTGGTCTACAAAGTGAGTTCCAGGACAACCAGGGCTACACAGAGAAATCCTGTCTTGAAAAACCAGAAGGAAAAAAAAAAAAAGAGGGAAGGAAAGACAGCTCGCTTCAAGTGTTGATCTGACAGTCTATCCTCTGGCTTCAGCCACGTTACTCCATCTCTTTGAGGTGTCCCTCTCAACACAAACATACCTTGTGGGCCACACAGTCCTGCAGCTCTGCCTCCAGCTCGATGTTCTCACTCTCTGCAGACAAGTCAGTCAGGACATCCTGGGAATGTGGGCACAGCAATGTCAGCCTGTGAAGCTGCATGGCGGGTGAAGGTGGCATGCGTGGGACTGAGGACAGGGACCCCAGAGCAGTCAGACTGCTGAGAGAGATGTGTCCAGCCTTTACAATAGCTGAGGCAGGAAGGAATGGCGGTGACAGAAGGGACATCTAGAAACACCTTTGTCTTGCACACTGATCTTCCCAGCCCAGAGCACAGATTAGGGTTTGAGCAAAGCCCTGTTTCTGCCCTGGAACACACACACAATGGCTCACTAAACAACAAAGATGCTGATACGGGAGAGGATGAGTGGCCGGGCTGAACCTGGAGGGAAGCAGGAATAACCATCCTCCCTGGGCTCCATGCTGTTTTGGTTTCTGTTTGTGACCGGCTTTGAACGCCTGTCTCCCATGCTGGGACTGTAGGCATGTACCGCATGCCTGGCTTACTTCTACAAGCGACCCACTGAGGACACCTGGCACGCTTAGTGCTGTGTACAGACTGGGACAGCTCACAGAGCACCCAACAGGCTGGCAGGGAACAAGCACTCGGAGGAAAGCCGTGTGCACTGGAGGTTTCTGGAGGAGGAAGGAAAACGCTGAGGCCTGTGCACAGCATAGAGAGACTGGAGCAGGTTGTGCTGGGTGCACGCTTTCGTTCCGGCACTTGGGGACACTTGGGGGCTACACAGGAAAGAAAACGGATTGACTAGGATGACCGAGATGACGGGAAACCTTTCTTTCGGTGCAGGGAACCAAGTGGTCAAAACAAGGGCTGGGAAAGGACCTAGTTAGAGAGCCTGAGGCTATGAGAGCAAGGAGTAATGGGCAATACTAATAATAGATAATGGACTGAACTCCCGCCTTCCACACGGTAGGTTAGGTGCTCTGCCCTGAGTCTGAAAGGGAGATACCAGGCAAGTGCTCCTTGCTGCATGACTTGGCCCAAGAATCTTTTCTTAGACCAGGCCTCACGACGTAGCTTTGGCTGGTCTAGAACTCACTCAGTAGACCAGGCTGGCCTCTAACTCTCAGAGATCTGCCTGCCTCTGCCGCCCAAGGGCTAGAATTAAAGTTGTGGCACTAGCATGTCCAGCCCAGCCCTCTTTATTATTATTTATGTGTTTACTTGTGCGTCTCTATACCATATGCACGCCTGATCCCCTGGAAATGGAGTTACAGATGATTGCGAGCTGCCATGTAGATGCTGGGAATCGAACTTAGATCCTCTGAAAGAGCAGTCAGTGCTCTAGGGCTGAGCCATCTCTTCAGCCCTGTTTTATTTTGATATAGGGTCTAAGTTGCTCAGGCTGGCCCTAAATTTAATATTCTCTGTTTCAGCCTTCAAAGTGTCTGGATTCTAGGCCTGTTCTGCATACTCAGCAGTCACACTGATCCTTCCTGGGCGCGCCTAGGAGAACCAGGAAGTGAGAGTGGGGGTGGCAGAGAAGAAACCAGAAAGCAGATGCTGAAAGAGGGAAGAGAGCGGGACAAGAAGTGGAGGCGGGAGAGGACTGGAGGTGGACAAAGGGCTCGCTGCACCCAGAAGAGGCAGCACATGGTGACTGGAGGAAGGGAGGGCCTGAGAGAACCCCCAAAGGAACTTGAGAGTACGTGACTATTTTTTTAAGTCTTTGTGTGTTGTGTATGTGTGCGTGTGCACATTTGTGTATGAACGCAGGTGCACGTGTGCCACGGCCCAGGTACGGTGGTCAGATCAGAGACGCGCTCCATGTCAGCCTTCACCTCCACCTGGCTTGAGGTAGGGTCCCTTGTCAGCCGGTGTAGAGACGCCAGGCTATCTGGCCCTTGGGATTCTAGAGTCTCCTGTTTTCATCTCCCATTCTGCTGCAGGAAAGCTGGGACCACAGACGCGGTACCGCCCCTGGGTTTTACGTGGGTTCCAGGAACCGTACGCAGATCCTCACCGTTCCCCTCAGCGCACTTTACGATGGAACCGTCTCCAAGCCGCCCCTCCCACTTCTTCAAAATTCAGTCTTACTCTGTAGCCCAAGCAGGACTCAAACTTGGAATCCTTCTGCCTCAGCCTCCGGAGGTGGGATTACAGGGAGTGTCCCACCACACGGACCAGCGTGTCTTCTCACGGAAGGCTGACCCCACCATTCCATCTGGCTCTGGGTGCAGGAATTAGAGGGCGGGCTACCCAGGCTTGGGGCTCATCTAGGCACATCTAAAGAGGGTCAGCAGGAGAAGACCAAGCAGGTGTCCCTGTAGACTGTGTTGGAATGTGTTGGCACCTCCGCTGCCAACAGCTGGCCATTAAGTGGGAACCACCTCCCCGTGTTTCATCAAGTCGGTGTTCCACAACCCACGCTCACTTCCTGGCTCCAGTGCTTCCCCTGGTTACCTCACACAGTGGCTTTCTCTGTTTCTATTGAAGATTTCCTCTGCCCCAGCACCCACCCGTGGCTTACTCTCTGCTCCCCAACAGTGTCCAGATCTGAACCTGTCAAACACGGCGGCATTACCTGGAGAGACATGGTTCCTCTCACAGCAACCACCACGGCCTCTTTTCTGTGATCCAGAACTACTATGAAGGGCAGCTCATAGACCTGGAAGAGAAGAAGCCAGCACAAGGCCTGACCCATGGGTCACAGAGCACCACCACCAACAAAGAAACCTGCGTGTCTGTGACCTGGTTTTCTATCCTCCTGCCTCCCAAGTGCTGGGGTTGTACACATCACCATACCTGGCAACTTCACGAGGTTTTTTCTCTTTAAATTACATTTATAATGTGAGGGTGTGTGTGCGCGCGCATGAGCATGTGTGTGTCACAGCATGTGTGAAGAAATTAGAAGACAACCTGAGGGAACTTGTTCCCCTTCTATTGTGTGGGTCCCAGAGATTGAACTCAGGTCCTCAGGCTTGGAGGCAGACACCTTTACCCACTGAGTCATCTCACTAGCCCGACTGTAGAAGACTTAGTTCTGCCAAGAGATTCTGTAGGTCACAGAGTCTGAAAACAGTTGCCCTCTACCAGGTTTTGGAGTAGAGAAGAGGTTGGAGAGCTGCTGAGCAACGCTAACCACAGATTTGAAGGTGGTGGGGAGGTAGGGGTGTGTGTGTGTGTGTGTGTGTGCGCGCGCGCACGCACACGTGCGCATACACTCGAGTGTGACTTCCATTCCAGGCTTTGTGGTACAGGCTTGTATCCCAACTGTTTATGAGGCTGAGGCTGAAGGAAAGCAAATTGAAGGCCTATTTGGGTCACAGGCTAAGCTCTGGGCCAGCATATAGGCAACTTAGAACATTTAGAAATAAAAAGTAAAAAGGAGGCTGGGGATGCAAGATGGTTCAGTGACTGAGATACTCACTGCTAAGCCTGATAACCTGAGTTCAACACCCAGGACCCATACGCACGCATGCATGCATGTGCACACGGGCTCGTGTGTGCGTGCACACACACACTCCTCCCACTAGAGCCCAGAGGACTCTCGGACCCACATCTGGACACCCCGTCTGAGACAGCACCTTGTCGTGAAAGCTGATGTGAATGAAGTCCCTGTACTGCAGCCCGGTCGTCTTCAGGATGGAGGCAAAGTGGCAGTTGTGCTGGTCCCCTTCAACTGCGTCATACTCCGTCTCTCTGCTTCTGCAACTGAAGGGAAGACAAAGAGCTGACTGGCAGTCTGGGCCCCCAGCCAGAGCACAGTGATCCCCCCTCTAGGATTTATCTAGAAAATTCAGGGTGGGGGAGGGCCGACCACTTCTAAGACAGTCTAAGAACAGTTTCTCAAGTCGCAGGGAATGGAATCCATGGTCTTGCGCATGGGGTAAACACTTTTTCACTGAGCTACATTCCTGACTCTTCTTTCCTTCTTTTCTTTCATGTCTCTATGTGTGTGCGCACATGTGCATGTCCATGCATTCATTCATTTCTGTGTGTCTGTGTGTGCACATGTGCAGGCCCATGCATTCATTCATTCGTTCATCTCTGTGTGTTTGTGTGTGCACATGTGCACGACCATGCATTCATTCATTTCTGTGTGTGTGCACATGTGCAGGCCCATTCATTCATTCATGCATTCATTCATTCATCTGTGTGTGTGGGTGTGTGCACATATGCATGTCCATGCATCCATGGAGGCCAGAGGAGGTCATGGGATTTCCTACTCTCTCATTCTGTGTTAATTCCTTTGAGACAGGGCTTCTCACTGAACTGGAGCTAGGCTGGAGGCCAGCAAGCCCCAGGGATCCTCCTGTCTCTCTCTACCTCACCCCCACCATAAGGGACACAGGCAGAGTCGGAACAAGCTTTTTCATGTGGATGAGGGGCTTTGAGCTCCAGGCCTCCTGCCTGAACAGCATGCACGTCACTGACTGAGCCACCTCTCCAGCCCCATGACCAGTAAAGACACAAGGATTGCCTGTGTGACTTCGGGAGCACTGGGGATCAAGCATGAGAACAAACTGCCCTGTGGCTGGGTTCAAGGGCTCGCAGAGGGTGAAAGTGACAGATACGATATAGGAAAGGTCATGCCAAATTTCTGTGTCGGGTCAAGAAAATGGCTCAGCAGATAAAGGCACCTGCTGCCAAGTCTCATGACGTGAGTTCAATCCCTGGGATCTACATGACAGACGGAGAGAATAAACTCCTACAAGTCGCCCTCTGCGCTGACATCCATGGAAACACACACACAAATGTAATTTAAGTTTTTTTCTTGAACTGTCAAACTGTCGACCAGGGAGTCCTGCAGGCCGCAATGCCCCAGAGGGATGGACGCTAAGCACTTAGATCTCGGTTTCTAATTAGCATCTCCACCTTGCAGGGTGAAGGGCAGAAACCATTCCAGGGCAAGCAAAGGATGCAATTTCAACTCCTTTCATCAGGATCCTTCCATCAAAGCCAAGGTGGCTCAGTGGGTAAAGGTGCGTGGTGAGTGATTTCACACGAGTTCCCTCCCAGAGCCCACGGTGAGGCAGGAGGTCAGAAGACAGCACTGTCGTTTGCTGTGGCATACACGTACCCACACACATCTCAGGCGCATGTTAATGATAAATAAAACCTGAAATATTTCCATCAGAAATGCAGGAGGAGGCCATGTGTGGCGGCATGAGCCTGTAATCCTAGCACTTGGGAAGTGGAGGCAGGAGGATCAGGAGGCCAAGGGTATCCTTGGCTACATGACATCCTGCCTCAAAATCACCAAAAAACAAAACAGGTAACTAGGGAAGTGCTCAGAAAGTGACAGGGACCCATCAAAAGGACACAGGAACCAGCCTGCAAAGTCAGGCTGGGGCATGTGAATACCAAATACTAATTATAGAAATGACAGTAATGAACCGTGGCTGTGGATGAAGCAAGAAGCATGTGTTGGAAGTGATACCAAGGATCTTGCTGCGCAGCAGAAGAAATGGTGATTTGAGAAAAACAGCAAGTTCCCACCCACTCTAGTCATGATTGACTGAAGTAAGAACAAAGGGATGCTAAATCTGGACCTGGTGGCTGAGGGCTCGGCTTAATGTGAGGATGCTTTCCCAGCATGAGCAAGGCCTGGGTTCAAGCAGCAAGGAAAAGAGTAGGGCTGGTGTTTAGTGGGTAAAGAACACAGGCTGTGCAAGAGGATCAGAGTTCGAATCCACAGAACCCATGCCCTGTGCCAGACAAGGCTGTGAAAGTCCTGGAACCCAGCACTGCGAGGTGATGGGTGGAGTCAGGAGGATGGCTGGGACTACCAGCCACCCGCTTAGCTCCAGACTCAGGGAAAGACCCTGTCCTGAGAGAATTAAGTGGAGAGAAGGACAGCAGGACACAGACATCCTCCTCTGGTCTCCAAACCCTACACACGCATGTGAACATGCATACATGTTTGGACATATACCACTGTGAGATATTACACACATACACATTATTGCGTATTCAAGTTACCAGTCAGTTAGCAACCAATTAGAGTATTGATTTTTATAATTTTACTACAATGAACATCCTGAGGAAATTCTGCCAAGTTGCTAGCAGACCTTTATCCATTAAGCATGAGATGTTGGCCCAGTGGGAAAGGTCCCTGCCGCCAAGCCTGACGTGAGTCTGAATCCCAAGAACCACAGTGGGTGATAATAGTTTCCTCAAAATCCCTCCTGCCTTCAGAGATTGAACATTTTCCAGACCATGTGATCAAGTTAATAATATGCCCTGAAAAGGCAGGCATGGTGGCACATGCCTTCCACCCAGCACTCAACCTGCTGAAGTCTAACCCGCTCCTGAGAGGACCGGCTTCAATATGCTTGTATTTCCCATGTAATCAGCATCTACAACCTAAGCCAAATGCATAGCTCCACTCTCTTTCCTGTTGGGTTTTTGAGACAGGGTTTGTCTGTGTAACAGGCCTGGCTGTCCTGAACCTCACTCTATAGAGCAGGCTGGCTTGAACTCAGAGAGCTCTGCCAGCCTCTGCTTCCCAAGTGCTGGGTTTAATGACATGCGCCACCACTGCCTGGCCGCATAGCTCCACTCTTCCACGCTGGCCCAGTAACCATTTGCTGAAGCCGCCAACAGGTTGAGAGTGACCTTACACAGTGACGATCCCACGAATGCTGGAAACATGTGGATAAAGGTGACAACATCTGTACGTGGTTCTGAGCGCTGTTCTGGGGCAGCTAGGGTCAGTAAGCTTTTTCAGAAGTTGCAAGTGCCAGGTGTGGCGCAGGCCTTTAATCCTGGCATTCGGGAGGCAGAGGTGGCAGCCTCATCTATATGATGAGTTTCTTTCAGGCTAGTCAGGAACAACATAGTGAGACCTCAAAACTTAGAGCTAAGGCATGAAATCTCAGGACACAGTCACAGCTCCAGAAAGATTCTAGGAACAGGACTTAAGACTCCATTCTATTCTTGGATGCTTTCTCTTAGAGGGAAATTCCATGAGAAGCTCACACTAGGCTGACCTACCAGTCACCACCAATCCTGCAGAGCCCGGTGAACGGGTTTCTGTAGATGTAGAGAGGCCATCCGTAGGCGGCAGCTGCAAAAGGCATGAAGTGATGGCAGTTCTCCACTTCGGCATCCAAGTCGGCTTCCTGGGGGAGAGGAGGGAAAAAGCCTTTTAGTGTGTGGCATCCATGCAAGGGATGAACCCGGAGATCTGCGTGTCCCATAACCCGAGCCTCGGGTGTCTGTCTCCACCTTCTACCCATTAGAACCATGTTTGCTGGACCCACCCAGCTGGCTGGTCCTCCAGCCTCCAAGAGTCCCCTACCTCCAGCTCCCATCTTGCTATAGGAGCCCCAGGATCACAGAAGTGCTCCATTACGTGAATTGGGGGGGGTGTCCCCACACTTGTGAAGCAAGCCACTTAGCCTGCTGGGTCACCCCCACCCTCACACCAAGAGGTCTTGCGCTCCACCTTCTAACCCTTCCTGCTTTTCCTCCTTGACTCTCGAACATTCCTTTTCTCCCCATGTGTATTTGTGGGGTACCTGCGTGCATGCGTGTTCACAGGGTGTGGGCACCTGTGTGTGCATCTGTGTGCACATGGACACCCAAGGCTCACATCGAGAATCTTCACTCTCCCACCTTATTTGCCAAGGCAGAGTCTTTACCTCAAACCCAGACTTGACCTAGCCAGCTTGCCTGAAGGCTACCCCACCCCCATCTTTACCTTCCAAGGCTGTAATTACAGTTGGGCCAGCACACCCAGCCAGCATTTACATGGGTTCTGAGGACCCCAACTCCAGCCCTCACAGCTGTGTGGCAAATAGAGTTAACAGCTGAGCTGTCTCTCCAGTCTTTTGTAGGGGGAAACTGGTATTTGTTTTGAAGACAGGGTCTGTGTACCCTGGCTGTCCTGTCCTGGACCTTGCTATGTAGGCTAGGCTAGCTTAGAACTCAGAGATTCACCTGCTTCTACCTCCTGAGTGCTGGAATCGAAAGCATGTGCCACCACAGCCAGCACTTGTTTCTTGAGACAAGGTCTCTCTATGTATCTCTGGCTGGCCGGGAACTCTCAGATCCACCTGCTTCTAAACAGCCACCGGTGGACTCCACCGGAACTGTGGCGAGGAAGGCAGGGGTCCCTGCTCAGTCTTCTGGCTCCTGTCAGAAGTTCCTGCCTAGAGTTCTTCATGGCTTTCCACGCTGGACATGGGCAATTTCAACATCTGGAGGAGGCATGCCACTGGGGGAGGGTTTTGAGGTTTCAGAAGACCGACACCATTCCCAGAAGCTTTTTCTTTGTCTCACAGTTGTGTCTCAAGATGTGAGCTCTCAGCTTCTATTCCAGCACCACGCCTGCTTGCTGCTGCTGACAGTCATGAGCTCTAGACCTCTACAACTGTAAGCCCCCAATAGATGCTTTCCTTCATAAGTTACCTTGGTCCTAGTGTATCATCACAGCAACAGAAAAGTAACTAAGACACAGATTCCTGCCTGGAGGACTCCACGGCTTTCGACCCCAGTGACACGGGTGCAGTCACTGCTGGCAGAGGGATACAGTCTACGGTTTCTCTGCCATACACTCTATGTGCTATTTTTCTGTTTTTTGTTTTTTTTTTTTGTCTTATTTTTGAGGATCTGGGAACATGGCTCAGTGATGGTACATGTGCCTAGTATTTATAAGACTCTGGGTTCCACACCCAGCAATACAAGAAGGGAGGAAGGAAGAGAGAGAAGAGAGAGGAAGACAGAGGAAGAGGGAGAGAGGGAAGGAAGGAAATGAGTGAATTAGTGTTGTCCCTTCTACTGTGTAGCCTGGGATGGCCTGGAACTCACAATCCCCCTGCCTCTGCCCCCTACTGCTGGAATGCAGGCATATACTTCCAGGCCTGGCATGACTTTATCTTTGGAAAACAAAAATTCATGGCAGAAAAAATTTCATCAAGCAAAGCTTGAGCTGTTTCCGCTTCCTAAACCTGGAGAAGAAAACACACTCTGAGGTGACTCAGGCCCCATCCCAGAAGGAATTCTTCCAGAACATAGGACCAAATATTGACTTCCCTACAGCGCAACCTAGACAATAAGATGGAAGTAAGCTTCCTGTACCTGGAATCTAGGTGAGAAAGTTGGGTTTCGGTCCAAAGGCTACTGAAACTGTTCTTGGCTACTTCTCCTGCCTCTTCTCCCTTCTCCCATCTGTCCCTGTCTTCCTATCATTCCTCCCCTTCCCTCAACTTCTCTCCTCTTACACAGGGTCTATTTCTAGCCTGGGGCTCCCTACATAGTCCAGACTAGCCTCCTACTCACAATTCTTCTGCTTCCTCTTCCTGGGTGTCCCACGGCCAGCTTTAGCTGTATGACTCTGAAGGTCTACATAGACGCACGAATGTTGGCGGTGTTGTCATTACCTGAGACTGCCCTGGAAAGTGGGTGACGACCTCCTGAGGCTCCAGGCTGCTGCTGATATTGTCCTGTTGCTGGTGGAGAAGGGTGAAGCCTGCTGCAATATCACTGGGCACCAGGTCTGTGTCCTGGGTGGGAAAGCACAATGGCCTGCCGTAAAAACCCATCAGATGGTCCAGAAACCTCTTAGCATTCAGTTAAACAGAGTTCACACACAGGCTCATTACATAGAAAAAGGTATTTATTATTTTCTATGTGTCTGAGACAGTCTCATGGAGCTTAGGATGGCCTCCAGCTCACTAAGTAGTTAAAGATGACGTGGGATTCCAGATCCTCCTGCCTCCACTTCCCAAGTTTAAGCATGAGCCACCACACCCAGCTTAGAGAGTATTTAAAGGGACTTCTGTGTGTGTGTGTGCGCGTGCACACGCATGTACACATCCATGCATACCACATGAGTGGGGGATCCCCTGGAGCTGGAGTCACGGGCATTTGTGAGTTAAACCAATGTGAGTGCTGGAACTGAATCCAGGTGTTCTGTAAGAGCAGGAGCTTTAACCACTGGGCCGTCCCTCCATTCCCTTAAAGATCCTTTAAAGAGCATTTTCCTTTGCGGGATTCCTCCTAGATGTGAGCTTAGCATTTTTCCTATCTTGTCCCCAAACAAATATGCTTGATTGATCATTTTATCAAAATTTGATTTTAAGTGACTTAATAACTATTTCTGTTTAAAAAAAATGTGTGTCTGTGTGCAAGTGCACGCACGTCAGAGTACGTGAGTGCCGGTCCCAGGCTGGTGCTCTCCTGAGGCAGGGTCTCTGTTTGTGCTTGCTGAACTCGGTGCTCCGGTTCTAGCTAGCCTGTGAGCTTCCGTCCTAACCACAGGCACGCTTATGCTGATGTGCACAGGATCAGAGGTGTGCACCACCATGCCTGGCCTTCTCATCTCTTAAGCTGATGGGAAGTTTGCATTGATACATACTGAGGCAGATTCATGAGGGTGAACATATGATTACTGGGTACACTGTGCCAAGAATGAAATCAGAAACTAGTAAAACACCAGTGAGACTTCTCATGGAAACAAATCTGGAAGTTAGAAATCCTCTCTCAGCTGGGCTTGGTGGCACATGCCCAGAATTGTAGGACCCGGACGGCTGAGGCATGAGGATGGCAAGTTCAAGACCAGCCTGAGCTATACAAGGAGTCCTTAGGTCAAAACGTGAGGGAAGGAGGAAGAGGAGGAGGGAGGGAGGGCAGGCGGGCAAGCATCGGCAGGCCACAGGATGAATGATGGCCCAGGGGGGTAAAGACACTTGCTGTCAAGCCTGACGACCTGAGTCTGATCCCCAGAACACAGAGTTGGAGAGAACCAACTCCTGCATGTTGTCCTTGGGCCTCCACCTATGTCATACAGGTATCCACTCACACAAAATAAATGGAACTAAAACCAAAATAGACTAAAGGAAATTTCCACCAGTAGCAGGATCTTCTAGCCCACAGGAAGGGCCACTGGGCCTCTGATGGGCAAAGGATGCGTGAAGCCTTGGGTTCCACCTCCAGCCCTTCAGAAAACCTGTCTTGGACCAGGTGGTGGCGGTGGTAGCAGCAGTGTACACCTTTAATCCCAGCACTGGGGAGGTAGAGGCGGACGGATCTTTGAGTTTGAGGCCAGCTTGGTCTACAGCCAGGGCTAGAGAGAAATTCTGTCTCAAAACAGCAACAACAAACAAAAACTATCTTGGTGGAGCACACCTGTAATCTCCGCACCAGGAGACAGAGGCAGAAGGTCCAGGATTTCAAGGCCCCCCTCAGCTACATAGTTCAAGGTCAGATTCAGCTACAGCCACAGGAGACTGGTAGTGACTAGGTACCTTCTCTTCTCTTCTGGATATCTTGAGATTGGGTTGAACCGCTCCTGTAAGATTTAGGAGCATGGCTCAGTGGGTAAGAGTGCTTGTTGCTCTTCAGTTCAGTTCCCAGCACCCCCGTCAGGTGGTCTCACAACTCCCCGTAACTCCAGCTCCTGGGGAGCCGATATCCTCTTCTGCCCTCCGTGGGGTACCTGCACGCACGCAGCACACGCTCACACAGATGCAAGTAATAAAAATAAAACCAAATTTAAAAAAAAAAAAAGCTTTACAGGGCACACCTCTTGTGCTGTCCCATGTCCCATGCTACCTCTCAACAGTTACAAGTCAGAGCAAGAGGAGACAGGAAGGCGCACAGGATGTCGAAAGGAATCTTCTCTCTTACTTGGGTTTCAGTACCAAAAACAACAGTTACGACACATCATTACACAAACACATGGAGAGGCGAGAGAAATGAGCACGTCCAAGTCCTCGGGCAGCTCATCCTGGAACAGCGACTCCCTTGGCACCTCCGTCACTAGTCACGGAAGGGGGTGGCAAATATTTAAATTACTTTCTACATTTCTTGTGTGTTTGCGTGTGTGTGCAGAGGTCAGAGGACAATGTGGGGCCTAGGGACTGAACTCAGGTCACCAATCTTAGCAGCAATCGTCCTTACCTGCTGAGCCATCTTGTGGAATGAGAAATTGCTTTCTGATACTCCCCTGCCTGTACGTGTCTACCTGCTGACTGCGCCGGATGGAGGAGACATAAGAAGACAACTAGCAAATTCTTTCCTAATGGACACGTTGTGTGACTTAGTTCCTTAAAAAACAACGCACAAGCTGGGCCGTAACAGACTAGTGTCAATGAAAGAACACACCTGGCTGTCAAGAGAAGGGCCGAGGGCTGGGCTGGGGCTCAGCTATAGTATAGCACATGCCAAGATGCATGAAGCCCTGGGTTCCATCCTTAGCACCAAATAAAATAAACCGGGGTGGGGGAGCGTGCCTGTAATCCCAGCACTGAAGAGGCAGCTGAAGGAGGATCAGAAGTTCCAGATCATCCTTGGCCACACAGTCAGTTCCCGGTCATCCTGGGTTACAGGAGACCCCTGCCCCAACAAAGCAAAACAAACAAGAGGCAGCAGGAAAGGCGTGGCCATCCTTGCGATTAACTGCTGCCTGCCAAGCCCGCCCAGGCAGTGTACTCCCAAACCCCATGACCAAGGGGTCCAGGTCCTCAAAGCCACATTACAGTCGCTCACATGGCTTTGTGCAGCATGCTCAGCTTCCCACGGAAAGAGACCACAGCAGATCCCGTCTGCTTACAGAAAAGTAGGTGGAGAAAAGGTCGGCCGTGCTGGAAAAAGCAACCCTCGCGTTGTCGTCCTGCACCACGCAGCAGCAACAGAACATCACTCTGGTCTCCCACACGCTTTTGGCCGCTGTCTTCAGGCCAGTCAACAGCTGGTTTGAGTTGTTACTGTCCAGGTGCTCGGGGCAGCCCAGAGGATGTGGAGACGTCATGCCGCCCAGCGGATCAAAGACAAAGAAGATGGTGACCATGGTGGTTGCCATGACAATCCAACTGCAAAAGTAAAGCATGGGAAAGGCTTGGTGACTGAGAAGGCGGGGTGGCCCACGTCCCCTGCAAACACACAAACTAAGCCTGCTTCTATACTGCCGAAGGAGAGACAGAACTCTGAGAACCCCACTGAGACAAGCAGTTTTCTTCTAGAGAGTTCTCTGAGGGTCAGAGAGAGGACTCAGGAGGTAAAGGTGCTTTTGGACCTGCCTGGGGATCTGCATTTGATCTCCAGGGAACACATGGTCGAAGAAGGAGAAAATCAATTCTTGCAGGCTATTCTCTAACTTCCAACATGTGCCATGTCATACACCACACATGACTAACTACACAAATAAATATAGAAAAAGAAAGACAGTTCCTCATAGCGTCCCACAAAGGCCAGAGCTCTGAGAGAAAAGCCCAGAAAGGACACAAAGGGCTGAGTGTGTGTGTGTGGGGGGGGGGAGGGCAGCACTGTAGCCTAGACACAGACGCCACTAGAACTAGTTCTCCAGGAGCCCCTGACCGTAATCCAGCTCCCCTCCGTGTCCTGAGGGTCTTCGGAGTAAAACTGAAGAGTTTCCACATTATCGAACACTCCAATAAGTGTCCCCCGGCCCACATTTAACTATTTCTATTTGTGTGTGTTCTGTAGTGGATATGTGCGTGTGTGTAGTGGTCAGTGGTTAACCTTGATCAGTCTTTACTAACACAGGGCTCTTACTGAGCATACAGCCCAATGACTAGGCTAGGCTGCCCATGTCCACCACCTGAAGTGCTAGGAATCCGAACTAATTCCTACTGCTCTCATGACAGGCTTTACTAACTGCTCCACTTCCTCAGCCTGAATTGTTTCTACACCGCCACAATGTGCAAGGCCCTGTGTGGTCTCCACTACAATGATGCAATGCAGACGCTGCCATCCCTCCCTGCCTGCCGTCCCTGCCTGCCTGCTATCCCTGCCTGCCTGCTGTGCCTGCCTGCCTGCTGTGCCTGCCTGCCGTCCCTGCCTCCCTGCCTGCCGTCCCTGCCTGCCTGCCTGCCTGCCTGCCGTCCCTGCCTGCCTGCCATCCCTGCCTGCCTGCCTGCCTGCCTGCCTCAAAGATGGCAGCACCAGCACCGGCCTCCGCTTCTTTATTCATAACAAAAAGGGACAAAACTAGACTACTGTTAAGATCTTTAGCTTGGTGGTGAGAGGGCTCAGGGGGTACAGGCATCTGCTGCTCAAGCCTGACGTCCCAAGTTCAATACCTGGGACCCATGTGGCTGAAGGAGAGAACTGACTTCCACCAAGTTGCTCTCTGACCTCCGCATGTGCAATAGAATATAACCATACTTCCCCACATAAATAAACAAATGTAAAAAATTAAACTTTTTTAAGTAAAGAAGATGTGAAAACTGCATTCTAGCCCTTATTACACCACCAGACAGTGGTGGTGCACACCTTTGATCCCAGCGTCTGGGAGGCAGAGGCAGGAGAACTCACAGATCTCAGTGAGTTGAAGCCAGCCTGGTGTACAGAGTGATTTCCAGGACAGCCAGGGCCACACAGAAACCCTGTCTCAAACAAACAAACAAGCTTTATTAGACTATTATACACCATCTCAATTCCTGGCACTGGTTCTCCCGACCTTTAACCTTCATCTCACCTTTAACCTCCACCCTTTCCTTTGACTGTGGGCTTCTCTCTGTGTAAGATTTATTTATTTTTATATTATGCATGTGTGTGTGTCTGTGTGCGTTTGCATGTGGGCACAGGTGCCTTGGAAACCAGAAGAGGACATCCCTAGATGCTGGAATTACAGGCAGCTGTGAGCCTTTTGATGCGAGTGCTGGGAACCAAACTCAGGTTTCTCAACAGCAGCAAGTGTTCTTAACCACTGGGTCATCTCTCTAGTACCTGCCCCCCCCTTTAAAGAATTTATTTACTTATTTTATCTGTGTATATATGAGCTGAGAAGTAGCTGGGGCTCCTCTGAACTCAACGCTCTTGGCCGCTGTCTTCAGCCGGTCAACAAGTGGCTGTTGAATATGTAAGTAAGAAGGTATCCTCCATGATCAATTTCCACCTTCTTCCTTTAAGGAGGATCTCTTCCTCCGAACCTGAGGCTCATGTGTTCTGGGCTAGGCTGGAAGGCTGGAAGCCCCAGGGATTCTCCTGTCCCCAGAGGTGAATGTGGGAGGCTTAGTTTTTTGCACGGATGCTAGGAATTGAGCTTCGGTCCTCACAATAGCATGGCAAGGACTAGTAACTGCTGAGCTGTCTCTCCAGTCCCTCTTCCTTCTTCCTTGCAGAAAAGTGAGGTTGGGAAGAAAGTGAACACTCACAAATGTAAGCTGGAAGAGGAGTTATTTCTCACGGTCTAAAAGCCATCCTTAAGTTTTCATGAATTACTCAGAAAGTCCCCACTCTGTGTTAGAAAGTCCCCGGGACATCAGGGTGTTACACTGCTCGGAAACACACCTGAGAAGCCAAGAGGAGGGAGACCTCACCTGACAATGACGGTGGTGATGATGCCAATCACAACTGTCTTGTCACATTGGATACCTTTTGCCACCCAGAAGGCCCCCAGAGAAGCCCAGACCATTTCTGGCAGGAAGAGCGCCAGGCGGACATAAAGCAGCTTAGCCATAGACTTCCGAGGTCCAGGGTTACAAATGGTTCCTGAAACACAGAAAAGAATGAACTGCTCACGAGCCTCCTAAGATGCAGAGCTGCCTGTCTGCAAGAAGACAGCTGGGGGTGGGGTGGGGGTGGGGGCTGGAGAAATGGCTCAGCTGACACAAGCGCCTGCCACAGAAGTATGAGGACGTGAGCTTAGATTCCAGCATCCACATGGGGTGGTGTGTGTCTGTAACCCGAGGGCTGGTGCGAGTGGTCCCTGGGGCCCACTGGCCAACCAGCCTAGCTGAATCAGATTAACTGAGACCCAGTCTCAAAAGGTAAGGTGGGGCGTGACTGAAGACCTCCCCGTGATGCTTATATGCACCTGTAAGTACACACAGACACAGACACACACACACACTACAGGAGCTGGAAAGGCTGCTTAGCAGTTAAGATCATGCATTGCTCTTGCCAAGGACCTGAAATTGGTTCTCAACACCTATAGCAGGCAGCTCACAACCCCACATAAATATCTCCAGTTTCAGGGGATCTGACCCCTCTAGCCTCCACGGGTACTTGCACTCACACATAAACCACACACAGTCACACACACATAATTTAAACATAAAGTCAATCTTAAAAAGAAAAGAATATAGCTACTGAACATCTCTGCATTTTGCTGTACCCACCATCGGGCTCCTTATACTTGGTGACATGTGCCAAAATTAGAAAGCAAGCGATAACGCCGACTGGTCTTGGCACACGCCTTTAATCCCAGCACTCGGGAGGCAGAGGCAGGCGGAGTTCTGTGAGTTCGAGACCAGCCTGGTCCACAGAGCGAATTCCAGGACAGTCAGGGTTACAGAGAGAAACCATGTCTTGAAAAACCAAACAGGGGCGAAAAAAAGCAAAACAAAAAGAACAGAAAGCACATGACAAACTGAGGGATGGGAGGCTGACAGAAGCTTCAGGTCCACCTCTCAGACTCACTCAGAGTTACGACCGTGTCTGGGCTCTAAGGACTACATAATCGCTGCCCAGACTGGAATACTCCTGAGAAACTGAGAGTGGCACCGTGGGTAATTACACTGCAGCAACCGGCATACAGGAGGGCTGCCCCAGGCAGGAAGGGAGACAGATTAATAGCCAGGAAAATAAGCTTCCCGCCTACTGAACACCTTACCAAATATTTGTACTGCTAAATACTTTAACATCAATTATGCTCTAATTCTCACAAATTACGGGCGAGTCATTAACTCATCTTACAAATGAAGAAATTGAGGCTCAGAAGATACGTGTGGTGTGTGTATGTGTTTGTGTGTGGTGTGTATGTGGTATCTATGTGTGTGGTATGTGTGTGTGTGGTATATATGTGGTGTGTACATGAGTGGTGTGTGTGTCCGCTATCTCCCATGGAAGCCAGAGAGGAATGCTGGGTGCTTTTCTCTTTCACTCTTCACCTTGGTTCTAAAAAGGATTTATTTTTAATTATGTGCACATGTCTGTATGGGGAGATGGCACGTGAGGTACATAGTGAAGCCAGAGGCTTTAGAAACCCTTGACCTGGAGCTGCAGGCAGTAGTGAGCTGCCCAGTGTAAGAGCTGGGAGTTGAACTGGGATCCTCTGCAAGACCTCTGGGTCATTTCGCCAGCCTTCCACGCTTTAGTTTCTCTAGGCTGGCTGGCCGATGTGCTCCAGGTGTCTGCCTGGCTCCACTCTTCCACACTGGGATTACAGGTGTACGATGGGAACAAATCACGGATTTAAAATGTTAGTACTGGGGGCTGGCTCAGTGAAGGGCACCTGCAGCTCTTGCAGAGACCCTGAGTTTGGTTCCCAGCACCCACCTGACCACCACACTGACCTCCAGTCCTGGGGACCCGATGCCCCTTCTGCCCTCTGCAGGTACTCCCACAGATGTGGTATCCCACACACAGACACTCACACATAATTAAAAACTAAAAATAACTCTTTAGTGCTGGACATGACAGCACACACCGTTAACCCCTGAAATTGGACGTAAGTTCAAGGACAATCTGGGTGACATAGCAAGTTTCATGCCAGCTGGGGTAACATGCCTGTCTCCAACAAGCATAAAACAATGTAAAAAAAAAATGTTTTTAATTATGCACTATCAAGCCTCCTGCTTGGCATTTACACTGTAATTGGTTTTTAAATTTTCATTTACATGTATTTATTGTGTGTGAGCACATGTGTGACATGGCAAGAGGAGGTCGGGGACACCTGCCGGAGTCGGCTTCCTCCTCTCAGAGGTCCCAGGCTGGGCACAGCAGCTCCTTTACCTGCCGAGTCTGGCTGGCCTCACGGCGTTCTCACTCTTCCTCTCTGAGGAACAAAGGAAGCCCGTCACTATGGAACAGTGGCTGAGACCCTAGAAAAACAGGAACCCAGGCCTGCACTGGGCTGGTAGGATACTAAATATGGACACATTCTAACATGGTCAGCAGCATCAGCGATTGGGACTTCCACATAAAAGCCTCTGACGCAACATTTACCAAATACACAGGCCGACAAAGATGGAACGCGTTTAACTTCCCGGAAGATGAACGAGATACTGAAGGAAGCTGCAGCTACCTAGAGAAACACTGTTTTAAATTCTTGGACAATGTCATGTGTATGTGTGGAACATTTTGGTCACTACCCCTCCCTGCTCCTCCCACTCCTTCTGGGACCCCTTCTTCCTGAGAAGTCCGCTCCTAGCTTCGTAGCTTTTGCTTTGTTTTGCTTGTTTGTGATTCACCGAGTTTAACTAGGGTGACTGCTTAGGCACGGGCAGGGAGTTATTCCATGGAACACGGGCAGTTTACCAGGGGCTACATCACTGAAGAAAAATGACTCCCCCTCCTTCAGCAACCATTAACTGCCAGCAGTCCCTGAGCTAGAGGTGGGGTCCTCATGAGTCCCTCCCCACCCTGTGACAGAATGTTGATGGCCTCATCTGGTTTAGATCTTAGAAAAACACATTTTTAAAGACAAAGTTCCACTCTGTAGACCAGGCTGGCCTTGAACACACAAGAGATCTGCCTGCCTCTGCCTCCAGAGTGCTGGAACTAAAGGTGTGCACTACCATGTCTGGCTAGAAAAACACTTTTATTTCCATATTTACTTTTCCTCCTCAGGATAAATAGGCTGGCAGAGACCCCCGGTTACTTAGCAGATATTCCAATTTGATGACTCTGACCTTCAGAGACACTGCTGTATTAGGCTGTACTTAACAAAGACTTCCTAAAAGTGACCCAAAGTCCCTGCCTGAAAGCAACAAAGAGAAAGTCTATGCGACAGATTTATGAATGACAGACACCTTAGCCACTGCAGCCATCTTCTCTGACACAGAAGTTGAGCTATGAGCTCTTCAGACACAGGGAGACAAAGGACCCTACCCAGACATGGTGGGTGGCAGTCCTCACATGGAATGAGTTCTTCTGTTAAAACCCAGCAGCCTTGAATGCAGACCATCCTCAGTTATCCCCTATATAGTAGCAACTATAGGGTTTCATGGGGGGAAGTTCTGGAGGTATGAGCCTTTGATCCTAGCCCTCAATTGGGAAGCTGAATAGCACCCTGAATTTGGGCTACACAGTAATATCCTGAAGAAGCAAAGAAAACACCTCAACAAAAGCAAAACTGTCCTTAACTATGCCACGCATATCTATGGCTATGAAAAAGAATCATCTTGGCCCTTCTTTCCACAAACCATATAAGGAAGGTCACAAGCACTCCTGTGTGTATGCAAACATATAGGTAAAAACTGATTAATACACAAATATTGTCACACTGGCCTCCCCAAAGGTTTGGCTAAATACATCCCCACCAACAAATCAAGCTGCCTATTCATTTCCAGCTCCTTATGCAATGACGCACTTATTTTAATGTGTGTGTGTGTGTGTATGTGTGTATATGTGTGTGCATATGTGTGTGAGAGAGACAGTGTGTTTGAGTCTGAATCATTTATTTATTTATTTTGGTTTTTCAAGACAGCGTTTCTCTGTAGCTTTGGGACCTGTTCTGGAACTAGCTCTTGTAGACCAGGATGGCCTCAAACTCACAGAGATCCACCCACCTCTGCCTCCTGAGTGCTGGGATTAAAGGTGTGCGCCACCACTGCCCTGTGGGTCTGAACCTCTTAAAATAAGAAAAAGTCTTCCTTTATTCTTCAGGCCCTTTACTATTGTTCTACTGACCCAGGGTTCTTCCCTTATTTCCTACGAAAGCCTCACTGCTGGGTCTGGTGGCCATGCCTGTGATCCCTGTGCTAGGCAAGCAAAGACAAGAGAACTGCCCACTGCAGTTTCAGGCCAGACTTCATCTCAGAAAGACCTGGGCTCTGACTCAGGTGGAAGGGGTTTGCCTCATATGTATGAGGCCCTAGGTTCAATCCCTATTGATGCAAAAAAAAAAAAAAAAAAAAAAAAAAAAAAAAAAAAAAACCAAAACAAAACAGAAAGAAAGAAAAGAAAAAAAGAAAAAGATTGGTATATCTATCTATCCATCCATTCATCTATCCCTGTATGTACCTTTTTCCCCATGTGCTACAACCTCCCCACATCTTTTCTTTAATTTTCTTCATTAAAATTCGTGTGTGTGTGCACGCATGTATGTATAATTTTTTTTTTGAGACAGAATCTTACTACGTAGCCCTGGCTGGTCTGAAATTTGCTATTTAGACCAGGCTGGCGTCAAACTCAAGAGTCACGTACCTCTACCTCCCTGAGCGCTAGGTTTAAAGTCGTGAGCCACTGTGTCCTTAAGAAGTCTTTTCTTTAAACATTTATTTGTGTGTGGTGGACATGTGTGCTGTCACACATTTGTGGAGGTCAGAGGACAACTTGTGGGGATATGTTCTCTCCTACTGCGTGGGTCACAGGGCACGATCATCAGTACAGGTTGCAAACATCTTTACCCACTGGGCCATCTCACTAGCCAAAAATCTTACCCATGGCACTGACTTTGTTTACTTATTCATGTTTCCAGGCAGGGTTTTACTATGTAGCTCTGGCTGTACACTTACAACAGTCCTCCTGCTTCTGGCTCCTACGTGCTTAGACTACAGGCATGATCAGCAGCATGTGGGCTGACAATTTAGCAAAATGTGTTACTTATAACCAAGAGCAATTAAAGGAACTAATTTGGGGGTCTGGGGGTGGTACTGAGGCCACTGAGCTCATCCCCAGGGTCTGAACTAAACTTTTTTTTTCTTTTCTTCTCCCCCCCACCCCACTCCCCACCTCCTGACAGAGTTTCTCTGTGTAGCACTGGCTGCCCTGGAACTCGCTCTGTAGACAGAGGCCTCAAACTCAAGAGATCTGCCTGTCTCTGCCTCCCAAGTTCTGGGATTAAAGGTATTTGCCACCACAGCCCAGCTAAACATTTTTTAAATTTCATTTTTATTCTTGTATTTGAGCCCCCCTCCGTGTACACTGTGTGCATGCAAAGCCAGTAGAAACCAGTAGATTGCATGAGACGCCAGGAATTAGGATTACAGAACGTTATGAGCCACCTCATGTGGGTGCTGCAAACAATTGTGTAAGAGTAGGAAGTGTGGGGTGGAGAAATGGCTCAGAGGTTAAGAGCACTGGCACTCTTCCAGAGGACCTGAGTTCAATTCCCAGTAACCACTTGGTGGCTCACAACCATCTATAATGAGATCTGGTGCCCTCTTCTGGTGTGCAGCAAACATGCAGGCTGAACATTATATACACAAAAAAAATAAATCTTTAAAAAAAATTCAATTCAAACTTGGACAGGAAGGACCTGGATCAACTAACACTGGACATGCAGGTAGGGCTTCTCCAGGACAATCTCCTGTGTCTGCTCATCTTGGCTGTGAGTGGAGACAGCCCCACCCAGAAGAAAAATAAAATCATGCCTTGGTTTGTTGCCAGGACCTTAGGAGGAGGGGTAAACTTTGCCCTAGGAAAGGAATTTTGACAACACCCTGCCAAAAAATTAGGTGGAGAATGATTCAGGGTGGCAGTCAGTGGCGTCAGCCTCCGGCTTTCACACGTGTGCACATGTCCACACAAATGTGTACATACATCACATACACAAAGAAGAAAACACTCTGATGTCAACTGTAGTGATAGCTTTTCAACTATGGAAACAGTCAGAACCTTAGTGAAGGGCTGGGGAGATGGCTCAATGAAGAGCACCTGCTGCTCTTGCAGAGGACCTGTGCCTGGTTCAGAGCACCTGTATGGCGTGGTTCACTACCACCTGTGTGGAATGGTTGACTGCCACTTGTGTGGAGTGGTTGACTACCACCTGTGTGGAGTGGAGTGGTTGACTACCACCTGTGTGGAGTGGAGTGGTTGACTACCACCTGTGTGGAGTGGAGTGGTTGACTACCACCTGTGTGGAGTGGAGTGGTTGACTACCACCTGTGTGGAGTGGAGTGGTTGACTACCACCTGTGTGGAGTGGAGTGGTTGACTACCACCTGTGTGGAGTGGAGTGGTTGACTACCACCTGTGTGGAGTGGAGTGGTTGACTACCACCTGTGTGGAGTGGAGTGGTTGACTACCACCTGTGTGGAGTGGAGTGGTTGACTACCACCTGTGTGGAGTGGAGTGGTTGACTACCACCTGTGTGGAGTGGAGTGGTTGACTACCACCTGTGTGGAGTGGAGTGGTTGACTACCACCTGTGTGGAGTGGAGTGGTTGTCTACCACCTGTGTGGCGTGGTTCACTACCACCTGTGTGGCGTGGTTCACTACCACCTATAACTCCAGGTCCAGGCTATCCGATCCAGTGCCCCATTCTGACCACAGCAGGCACTTACAAGCATGTGGTTATCCACACACATAAACCCACAAACAATCTTAGAAGGAAAAAAAAGACACTGAATACACTCTGAAAGGGTGGACTGTAATGTATAAAAATGGTATCGCAGTACGGCTGTTAAGATAAAAACCCAGCATCACGCAGAAAATGTGGCTCTTTACCTCTCATGCTGACACACACCATGGCCAACACGGTGCATATGATAACTGCCAGGAGAACAAGCAGAACAATCAAGTAGGTGCTGAGCAAGGCTCCACCAGGACAGTCCAGCTTCCTCCTATGCACGAGATACAACGTCAGACTGGCGATCCATCTGCGGACAAAGGAGAAAGTGGGTTCATAAAACAAGAATATGAGGAAATGAAGGGAGTTAATAGTTTCCAACGCAAGGGTAAGGTTCAGTGTGGAATGTAATTTCCATCCATAAAAAGTCCACCCAGAGCCGGACTGCTGGCACACATGTGGTTTTCTGCTCTTACTTTATATCTACTGCAATCCAGGAACTGGGCACGCCTGTAATCCCAGCACCCGAGAGGCAGTGCAGGAGGATCATAAATCAGGCCTGAGCCTGAGTTCCAAGACCCTGCACAAGGAGCCTCCACTTAAAAAGCAAATAAGCAGGGCTGCAGAAACAGCTCAGAGACAAAGGGCACCGGCTGTCTTTCCAGAGGTCCCGAGTTCAAAACCCAGCAACCACATAGTGGCTCACGACCATCTATAAAGAGATGTGGTGCCTCTCATGGCATGCAGGCATACAAGCAGGCACAACACTGTGTGCATAAAAAATGAATAAATCTTTAAAAAACACACAAAGGCTGGAGATATAGCTCAGTTAGTAGGGCATTTACCTGGTGTGCAGGAGCCCTCAGGTTCAACCCCAATGACATACACTAAGTGTGCACACCTGCAACCCCAGCACTGGGGAGGTGGAGGCAGGGGGATGAGAAGTTCAAGATCATTCCCCCCACACACAGTAGAGTTTGAGGCAAACAAGAGATATAGAAGACCCTATCACAAAGCAAAGCCTAGGCAAGCATTCATAAGGGTTCTGCGGGAAAACACCTGAACACCTGCCATGACTTAGAACCATGTGAATTGGAAACCACACGCTGTGTTGCTGAACTAGTCACAGGACGATTTGTACATGTATAGTAATGTGCAGTGTAGCCTACCACAGTCCAAAACCAAGCACGCACAAAGGAAATTATGAAAATAACTCATAGATTCAAAAAGAGAAGCCCTGCGGGCTCCTGGGTACATTTTGTAATTCTGCAGGGAACAGTGATACTGCTCAGACCTCCAGCAGGCAAATTCACCCTAGGGGTACATCAGCAGAGGACAGCACCACTTAGCAAGAATGTCTGCTTTTTAAAATTACATTTATTTACTCTTTGCTTGGGGAGGAGTGTCATGGCATGCCTGCAGAGGGAGGTCAGAGCACAACTCCAAGGAGTCAGTTTTCTTCTTCCACCTGGGGATACAACTCTGGTCACTGGGCTTGGCAGCAAGCACCTGTACCCATTGAGAGATCTTGCTGCTCAAGATTGTTCTAGTAAAGATTCAAACTCCAAGCCGGGTGGTGGTGGCCCATGCCTTTAATCCCAGCACCTAGGAGGCAGAGGCAGATGGATCTCTGGGAGTTCGAGGCCAGCCTGGTCTACAGAGCAAGTTCCAGGACAGGCGCCAAAGCTACAGAGAAACCCTGTCTCCCGCCCCCCGCCCCCAAAGATTCAAATTTCAAAGCCCTAAGAGGCATCATTCCAGGTGATGGGGATTTAGCTCCGTTGTAACGCACTTGCCTAGCAGGCATGAATGAGGCTGGGCTCAAGCATTAGAGGGGAAAAAATGAAGGATTGCTTTGGGTAGCTTTTCTTTTCTCAAGATAGGGTCTTGTGCAGCCCAGTCGCCCTCAATACGTATCCAAGGGTGAATTTGAACTCCTGATCCTCTTGCTGCCACCCCCTAGTCCTGGGATTACAGGTGTGCACCGCCACCACGAGTTTTGTGTGGTGCTGGGGATCCAGGCAAGGGCCTCATGCATGCGAGGTGAGCACTCTACCAAAATGAGTTACACCCCCCAGGTCCTAGATAACTTTTTCTGTCCGTCTTGCATACACCAAGGCTCTGTGTCTGGAAATAACGGCAAAACGATCTGAGAAAAACCCAGCCCTTAGAAGCAGAAAGTTCCTAGAAAGAGCTTCTGCGTTCCCATTCCTTTCCTCCTTGAGAATGCTTTTTCCTAAGAACGCTATTCCTCGTTGCCAGGCATGCCAGGAGCTGACTTCACGCACTAGTGCCGTTTCCCACTGAGCGTGGCTACGTTTTGCAAAACCAACCTATTATACTGGTTTCTGTGAATTGCTCTGAAATTGTAATTGCTCAAATGTTTGTTTTTGTGGAAACAGGTTACTTCGCTACCCGCCCGGCAAAAAACACGGGAGTGATGCAAAGTTCCAAAGCCGGGCTCCTGAAAGGAGAAACCTGGAGGCTACGGATTTTTGGATGCTCATGCTTCCCTCACGCTCCCAGTGCCAGGGTTCCGCGCCGCACCCTAGCGCTCGTGCCCCGCAGCGCTGCAGGACCGGGACACCTGTCAAATGCACAAAGCGATTGCCCTACGGTCTAGGTGCAGACAGACCGAGCTCGGCAGGCGCGGCTGCCGTTAAGCACCGAGGAGGGCGACTTGGATCGCCTTCTGCAGCCACAGCGCGCCCTCCCGCCCGCACGGCGGCCTCACTTACGACAGCACACGCAGGAACAGCTCGAAAGTCCCGGGGAACACCAGGTCGTCGCTGGCCAGGGACCAGCGCCGGCCGAACAGCACCATACCCGGCATGGTGCACCTCCTACTGCGCCGCCCTGAGTCGCGCGCGCCCTTCTGACTCCGTGGGCGTCCAGGGCCTCAGGGCGCGCAGGCGCACGCTTAAGTAAAGGCTCGCGCATGCGCCCTCTGGCCCGAGGCCTGAGCACGCGCATCGATTAGCACGCCGCCGTCTTGGCTCGCTTCTCAGATCCGCTGGTCCGGAAGTTAGCTGCTGGCTATCGACTGCTGATCGGAGGGTGTGTGAGGTTTGTTCCGACGTGGTCATTTCTGTTTAACAGATAAAGATTCGGAAGACCTGAAAAGACTGCTCTCCCCACACTACCGCGGCCGCTAATGGCGAAGCTGGGACTTAATGCTTGGGTCCCTGAATCTTCTAAGCGTGGGGCGACTTTACTGTCATTTGTGGTTCCTTAGGACTCAAGACTGAGTTCAAGTCTGACAGGCCACCCAGCGGTTGGTGAGATAAGGTCTGACTCCTTTTCGCAGCTCCACGGCTCTCCCTTCTCTCCTACACACCGTGGTGTAGCCACCTTCATCCCTGCTCCTGGCCAGTCTCGCTCGTTGCCGTTCTTCCCCACAGCCCCCCGGGTGACCTCGGTGACCGGTCAGACGTAGTCTAGGTTATGCCTAAGACTTGCAAGGCTGCTCTTGGGCACAGAGTACATCTTAACTCTTCGCAGAGATCTTGCTCGCAGAGTATTACATGAAAAGCTCGTAATTTGTGTCTGTATTCCCAGTCTGCCACCTGCTGTCATCTACCCTCACATCACGTACGTTTTAGTTACCCAGTGTTTTTGTGTCGGTGGTGTGCATGTGCGTGTTTTTGTATGTGTTTGGGGTGCACCGTGTAGTAGATGCGTGTGCACGTGTGCTCATGCATGTGGCGGGCTGAGGTTGATATCAAGAATCATACCCCCTCTCCAAATAAAGGCCAGATGGTGATGGCGCATGCCTTTAATCACAGCACTCGGAAGACAGAGGCAGGCGGGTCTCTTCTATGAGTTCGAGGCCAATCTGGTCCACAGAGCTAGTTCCAGGACAGCCAGGCTTACATAGAGAAACCCTGTCTCCAAAAACAAAAACAAAAGACTCATACCCAATAACTCTTCACTTTGTTCACTGAGGCAAGGTCTCTCAATCTAATACAGAGTTTGCTGATATGTGTAGTCTTGCTAGCCAACTTGCTATGGGGATCTTCTGACTGCCCCTTCCTAGGTTGTAATTACAGGTGTACTTCCTTGCCCATCCTGCATTTTCTTGGGTTTCCAGGGATCTGAATTTTATTCCTCACACCAGTTCAGCAAGTCATCTCCTTAGCCCCTCACCCCCAAATTTTAACATTTTCTGTTTCCTCTTATGGAGATGGTACCTTACAGGTATTTTTCTTTTGCCCCCCCCATCCCCCCCACCCCACCACACACACACACACACACACTTATTCTTTTTTTGGTTCTGGGGATTTGTTAGGCCAGCACTTTACCCCAGCTGCTCTGTCTCTGAATCTCTTCATCCAGGTCTCAGGTGTGGTGTCATTATTTCCCAGACGCCTCCGTGAGGCCCTTAGCTAACAGCACAGCACAGCACAGCACAGCATGGGCCTTTTCCTAGCTCTTGTTTCCTTATTGTGTGCTGAATCTCTCCCTGGCCCAAGTGTGACTGCTGCCTGGCATGCTGATAAATTGAGACATGGTGTTCAGGCAGGAGAATTAATTTTAAGGTCAGGACTTCTAATTAATTGAGAAGATGGAGGATCTGTTAAAATGTCTATCCTAAGGCTGGGGATGTAAGTCAGTTGCTGAGTGCTTGCCTAGCGTGCACAAAGACTTGATTTCTACCCCAGCTGCTGGGTAAACCAGATGTGGTAGGACATGCCCGTGATCCCGGTTACTGGAGGTAGAGGCAAGAGGTCATTCTCAGCTACATAGTCAATTCAAGGCTAGCCTGGGCTACTTGAGACTCAGAAGTCTGAAAACAAAGTCCATCTGGGGAGAAAAAAATTTGGGAATCCTTTATGTAGCCTGACAGGTGCTCCCAGGCTGGTGGGAAGATGATAGCGTGTTCAGAATCTGTGTTCCTATCCCTTTACTCCCTTGAGGATGCTTTTCCTGAGAATAAGACTCCTCATCGCTAGGCATGCCAGGACTGACTTCATGTACTGGTGCCGCTTCCCACTGGGCCCACATTTTGCAATAAAAGCTCATCTCACCGACTTCTCTCGAAACCCAGGCACTGTTGGCTACTGTCACAACACTTTTCTGTTTTGCAAGGACAGGCGTTGTTTCCTCACGCTGCTCTTGTTACTGTAGTTGCCCAAAGAGTTTCCTGACATGTTGTACAATGGAGGGACCAGAGGGGATAGCTGTCACCCTTTGCCGATAGACAAAAAAAAGAACTCGTACTCCACCTGAATATTGTGGACATCAAGGGTAGGGTGAAGTTAAATAGAGAGTCACACAGATCTCTGTCCAGCTACTTTTTTTTTTTTTGAAGCAGGGTTTCTCTGTGTAGTCCTGTTTGTCCTGGAACTCACTCTGTAGAGCAGGCTGGGTTCAAACTTGCAGAGACCCACCAGCCTCTGCCTCCCGGGTGCTGGGATTAAAGGCGTGCACCAACTGCTCCTGGCTGCCCATCTACTTTTTAAAAAATAGGTTTGTTTTTGTTTCTCATTATGTGTATGTGGAGTGGGAGTATGTGCATGTGTGCATATGTCTGCGGAGGCCAAAAGAGGAGAGGGCATATATATTATATGTACGAAGTTGGGCTTTCTTGGTCAACAGTCTGTAGTCTGTAACTCTTGCACCAACCCTCAGTGGCCCTTTTGCAATCTGCTTTCCTGGGGAACCTCTGATGGAAGGGCAGGAGGTCAGCATTTAGTGTCTCATCAAACAAGGTGGGCGAATTTTTAAATCTTTGGGTAACCTGGTCCATGTAAGTTGCCTGCTCTAGGGGCTGGAGAGATGGCTCAGTGGTTAAGAGCACTGACTGCTCTTCCAGAGAACCTGGGTTCAATTCCCAGCACCCACATGGCAGCTCACAACTGTCTGAAGATCCAGTTGCAGGGGATCACACCAGTGCACATAAAATAAAAAAATCAAATAAACTTTTTTAAAAAAAAGTTGCCCGCTCTAACTGACCTGGGTCTGTCCATTTAAAAGCAAAGATGTGTTGACTCACCTCTGCCAGTGTGAGGCTGAAGAATACATCCTTCAGGTCCATGTGCACCTGTTTCCCTGGAAGAATCAGACTCATGAGAATCCGAGATCCCAGGTTTGTTCATAGGCAGGAGATGCAGGGTCACTGGCAGGGCACCGGGAGGCCTGTCCCTTCAAACCAGGCAGTATGGACTGCAATTTCCCCTCTTGTTTCCAGGGTCACTGGGTACTGTTTAATATAGAGAAAGATAGCCGAACTGGTTAGTTGAGAAATTATAGGAGCTTGGTGTTGGGCTAGTCCTCGGGGGTTGATTTCTTCTGACGGGGGAAAAGACAACAGTTTGCCGGATATCTTTAAGTTCACCTGCGCCTCATCATCAGAGAAGGTGATAGTGGCTTTCAATCTATGCAAAAGGTTTCGTCCCCATAGGTTCTCTGTTGTTAGACCCCTTTGAGCTACCTCCAGTAACTGGGACCTGCTTACACCTTTACATTTTTCTAACTCGCTTTTAATATCTGGGTCCCATTGGGTAACAAAGGAAATATTTTTTGTTTTGTTTTTCAAGACAGGGTTTCTCTGTCTAACAGCTCTGACTGTCCTGGAACTCGCTCTGTAGACCAGGCTGGCCTCAAACTCACTGAGATCCACCTGCCTCTGCCTCCTGAGTGCTAGGATTAAAGGTGTGCACCACCACGTCCAGCAAAAGGAAATCTTTTTAACAGCTGTCTTTAATCTTTCTAAAAAGTATCGGTGAAATTGCTTAAAGTCTCTTTGGTCAGCATTGGACAGAAGGGGGAAAATCTTCCATCCAGGCTGTGTGGCTTTGCAGCAATGCTCAGGGGCAGTGGTTTGTTTGTTTGTTTGTTTGTTTTGTTTCATTTTTTTGTTTTCTCAAAGAATAATGGGTTTTACAGATCATTGGTTGAAAAAGAGACATAGATTATGAAAGAGAAAGGAGTAGAACTTTCTCTTTTCCTTCAGGCTCAGCCCAGAGGAACTTTTCCCTTCCCCAGGGCTGCTGAGAGCAGGCAGAGTAGAGGGATCTCACATCCTTCCTGTGTGCATTCCACAGGCGTGGGGCCCTGGGTGAGAAGCCAAACCCCTCCCTCCTCCCATGCAGGGCCCAACCCTGACTGAGCAGGAGCCAAGCAACCAAACAAGCAGGTGCTCCTGCTCCCTGAGTGGGGCAGGTGGAGGATTTTTTTTTGTTGTGGATTTGTTTGCTTTGGTTTTTTATTTATGTATTTTTTTTTTTTTTTTTGGTTTCTCTGGGTGACCTGGTAGAGCTGAGACGATTTGAGTCCCCCACAGGATGAGGCACAGGTCTTAAGCCAGGAGGTCCTTACACCAGAGAAAGCCACTGGTCAATACAGAGAAACAAACACATAGAAGACCCACACATATACACTAGACAGCTGGGGTGACCACCACACATACACACACCTGACAGACAAGCGGATCTAGCGACACCTTATACAGATCCCAGACCCTGAATCAGCGCTTGTATCCAACCTCTCCTCCGGTCCAGACAGAAGCCGCCTTAACTATGCTTGTTCCCAGAGGTGACAGACCAAGCAACTTCCTGATTTGTTTCCTTCTGGGGTGGAGGCCTCAGACCCTCCTGAGTCGTTAGGCAGGGATGGTCGAAGGGAGTCCTGGGGACCTGGAACGTCTCGGTCGTACACCCTCTAGGAGCCACTTGACTCTTCCTCACTCCAGGGAGCTCTGAGACTCGCCCCACCCCCACGTCTCAAGGTCTGGTCTCTGGGACCTCAGTGGGACCTCCAGAAATGTGGGGCACTCACCAGAGAAGACTGCTCAGCCGTGGGTCTCAGCCAATAGAAAGTCTTTATCGGCTGGCCGGCAACTCCACTGGGTGTTTGGGATCCCGGCGTGGCGCCGAGCA